TAATAATAATAATAATAATTTGGAAGGGTGTGTTAGTGGCCTATTCAAGAGGAAGTTGTGCTGCTAACACAAATGCTATGTCTCACTGGTGGTTTATATCCATCAATATCTCTGAGGGAGGAAGACAAATAAGCTCCTCTCTTGCAATAATGGCAAATCTTCTGGATCAAAATTTTGCCTGGTTTTGGATATTTTCGGGATTGTTTCTGTGAAAGATAATTAATAAGCAATTCTAAAACTGACTTAAGGCTAAATTAAACCTTCAAATGAACTTTGTATTTATTGATTTGGCTCTACATCAAAAAAGTACAGCTGTACTTCTAGAATGTTAAAGTAAAAAAATAGTTTGTATGCTGCTAAAATGGTATCTATGGTGCTGATATCTGTCATTTAAAATTTGTTTAAATTTCAGATCCATAAGGAGCTACTTTCTAACCCTAAACTTCCCACCACTTTAATAATCTCCCACTTAAGACTCTGAAAATATAGAAAAAGATGGTATTTGCCTTCATAAAAATTTCAGCCCTCTTTGATGACAAGAAAATCCTCATCATTTCGGTTGACAGCTAAAATCTAACAGTTAATATGGAGGTGAAATATCAGGCTGTGATAATGACTCAAAGTCTCAGAAACCTGTTGTAGGGTCATTATGAATCAGAATTGACTTCACAACAGTAAGTTTGGTTTAGTATTTTGTCTTTGATGACAGCATTATGACCATTACCAAAAATTACTATCAAAACCAATAATAAATAAAATCCATAAAAGTATCTGAATAACTTGAAATATTATGTAAATATGCTTATTTATAAAAATATTACATTATTTTAAGATTCTATTAAGATGATTACATAAATCAAAGAGTAACAATCTAATGGCTGATTAGAATTACCTTTTATAAGGTTTATTCTACTTTGGTCTTGTCATGTTACAAGGATCATGTCACCAGTGTTAACAAGGGCTACCTTATCCTAAATAAGAATCCCTATTAAAAGCACTATTAATAAATATATGTTTCTAGTCAGAACTAGAGCAATTATGACAATTTTATAAAGTTTTACACTTAAGTATATATAGTGGAAAATCATACAGCTCCCTGCAACTGACTATTAATGAAGTTAAAGGACAGTATTTTATTGAATGTTCATTCATTTCTTTTGATTTGTTTATATCTTGTTTCTTCAACAATGAATGTATTTTGTAGAAAAAATCTTGGTTAGAAGATCTACCTTGTCCATGTACAGGCTTTGTAATCCTGTCACAAACTGGAACCTTCATTTCACCATTTATAATTTGAGGATGACAAACAAAGCATATCTTGTAAAACTAGGATCAATACAATGACCTATATAGTCATTTCCATCATATTATGTTGTAAACTATGAAGCTATAAGCCCCAAGGACAATTATCAATTTTTTAAAACTATGACAGTTTGTTCCTATCCCAAAGAAAGGTGACCCAAGAGAATGTAGAAATTACAGACCAATCTCACTGATTTCACACGCAAGCAAGATTTTACTGAAGATTGTCCAAAAACGACTGGAACAGCACATCA